CATCTCAGAGACACATCCATTTTGAATCACCTTGAGCACAATAATATCAAGACGAAAAGGCAGAGTTTGCCGCTAGGGTGAGTTCATGAATAAATTATAAAACATCTTTGCTTACTAGAGACACAAGCCAGATGTCCTATGCCCTTTTCTCTTATTCTCCTGTCTGGATCCAAAGAAAAATATTGCTTATGTGCTAAAATGTAAAGATCCAGACGGGGGAACAAGCACTGTGCACGACATCTCCAATTGGAATGGAAAGAAGACGGGAACCGTTTTTGCTCCCCAGGCCCATGAATTTCTACTCTCTCCCTAGACCAGTGCCGCTGGGATCTCAGTCTCTATGATTTGTGCCTCCACAGGCCCTGAACCTCAGGGCTATGTCTTCCCTCCACAGGTCTGGGGTCTGCCCCTCACATCCACATGGAGGGGTCCGTGGAAGGAGAGATCCAGCTTGTGTGCACTGCGGACCACTGGTTCCCAGAGCCCCAGGTTTACTGGAAAGATGCCGCTGGAGAGAAGCTGCTGACTCTGTCTGAGTACCACATCCAGGACGAAGGTGGCCTGTTCCATGTGGAAGCCAGGCTCGTGGTCAGGGATGCCTCGGCAGGGACTGTGTCCTGCCTCATCTACAGCCCTCTCCTCGCCAAGGAGATGGAATCAGTCTTCTCCATCCCAGGTCAGTGCTCAGCTCCTAGAACCCAGGAGCTCAGATCAGCAGGCGAGGTTCCAGGGACTGTTCCATAGCACCTAACATGTTTTTAATCAAGAAAATTATCTAACATTTAATAGTTTGTGTTGAAAGCTATAAAACATTTATGACTGAAAATATACCGCTATAGTTTGATTGAATTGCTATCGCTAATGATGTTGCAGCTCTTTCCAAGTTCAAGATTTTCTTTACTCACAAGTATGCATGACATTGTAAAGGAAATAAAACTATATTCTTTCAACAGAAATGTTTTCTTATGTGGTATTGGGACAACTGCTTTCAGGAACCTGTCATAGGAAGAGAGTCAAAGATGGAGACAACTATGTATACAATAGCACCCTAATTGTAGCCTCCTTGACAAATAGCAATGGAAACAACAGCCCAAGCACCCCAATACAACAGTGGAGTGTTAGGTGTCTTACGCTACTATACATTATAGCAACGATGAAAAATAGTATTTTCAAAATATTTTAATGGTTGAAAAAATTCCTCATGATGGACTATTTAATGGTAAAGATTACATCTGTCTGTCACCTATCTATAACTAGGCATTTCCAATTGTGTAAAGATTTTTTTTTTTGGATGCCATGTATACTTAGATATAAGGACATAAGTACACAGTTATTCTTATTGTTATCCATGGGTATAGAAAAAATTGAAGTAAATGCTACGTGTCAATATTAAAATAACACACACGTGTTTGATGTCTGAATTTGGAGTTGTAGGTGATAATGGTCCCTGTCCGTGCATTTGTAAAAAGAACGTATTATGAGGTAGAACTGAGAGCATTTTTGTTGTGCAGAGAAAAGGAAAAACAGTGCAGTCATCAGGTGGAAAAGAACCAATAGTTTTCTGTTTTTCTACATTTAATTTCTTTTTTATGAATCCAGATTTCCAATGAAATGTAGGACTTGCTTTTATTTTTGTGAAATATTTTATCTCTGTTTCCTTAGAACAAATTCCTTACTTAATGTGTCATTCTCATTTTTCCCCAGAGAAACTCCAGTCTGAGTTGGGTAAGTAGCCGGCGCCCATGGGTGTGGATGAGGCCCTGTGTTCCCTGAGGGACACGGGGNGGGTAAGTAGCCAGCGCCCATGGGTGTGGATGAGGCCCTGTGTCCCCCTGGGCCCAGCTGCTCAGCCCCCGAGACACCGTGATATCCCCACGAGAACCGAGAACCGAGGCCTGACTTTCCCAAATCCCATCTGCAGTTAGTACCAGTGGGGACCCGCAGAGCACAGGCCTCCACGGCCCCCTTTAGCACATTTGCACAGGGCTACCTGTCACTCTCAGGGTTTAGGGAGCCCAGGTGAGCCTTGGATGGACACCCGTAAGGGGCACAAACAAATCTGCCTGTTGGGTGGGAGGAAAGGGAGCTGCCCTCGGAGCACCTAGAGGATGGCACAGGACCGCTGGTGGGCCCCGTAGTCCCTCTGAAAGTATTTCTAGTGTGAGTGAGGGCAGTGTCATCATGGTAACCGGATGTCCCCAGC